TTTCCCTCTTTTCAAATAGTTCCTAAAAATTCGTCAAAAAATGCGTTACGTGGTTTCACTAGAGTCGCGCAACGATACATGGTTTCTCGAGCGGCACGCATCGGTACTTGGTTTCTCGAGCGTCGCGCAAAGATACTTGGTTTCTCTAGAGGCGCTGCGCCGTGCGTGCTTTGAGTTAGGGACGAGCGATATCCGAGTCTAGTTTAGAGTGGGCAAGCCGCAATTTTTACATGGTAGACCACACTGCAAGTAAAGGAGTCAACAAACTCATTGTTACTTTAAAGCAAAGAATACATTCGTAAAATGACGAACAGTTTGCAACTCGGTTGCTGGTTAAATAACGATCCTAGAGACAAGAATTTTTGAAAAAAACACTTTTTTTTTGTTGTTTTCCTTTTTTTCAAAAATTCTTGTGTCCAGGATCGTTATTCAACCAGCAACCGAGTTGCAAATTGTCGTACTCGTAAATTTTAATAACGAACTATTTGTGACAGATTATTATCGTGAAATGAAGAAATTAATTAACAGTTCGGAAAATAAATGACTGAAGATCGGAAGTTTCGTTTGCCCAATTTGAAGTAAAAGCTCTCCGATAGATGCTTTGAGCATGTCAAATTGTGGGGCAGCAAGGCTCTATTACCGCATACATGCCTATTAATTTGTAGAAGGCGAATTGGCCAGCATAATAGTGTCAGTCACACTCAGCCGTGCATTGGTTTTCCTCTGAAAGTGGGGAAACGGGTGGACTCCTCGAACTGGCCAATTTCAGGGCCGTCAAGCTTGGGCGTGTCAGCACCAGGGCGGTTATGCGCTTCAGTATCAGCGGGTGGTCGGCAGTATCAGTATCGACATAGGACTCTACAGCAAACCGAGGGCCTGTCCGCCACGCCACCAGCCGCACCAGCGGAGAAGAGCAATGCCACGTTGCAGAATTTCCTCCCCCAATACTCCCCCCCTACCCCCGCCCCGCAGCGCAGTTTGTCTCTCATACAGGATTGTTCGTAATTAAGCTCGAGCCTAATGGCGTGGAACAATGGCCGTTCGTTTTTTTTCTGTCTTTCCCTCTCCTACCCCCTGCTCTTCCAGTTAGCGGTTGATATCGGATCGCGCGCACACGAACCCGTTACCTGGATGCTGCCGCTCCGAGCTTTGCAGCGCGGTCATTCCAAGCGTGTTTGAGTACATCCTCGTCGTGGCTGTGCGAGGCTGAGGCCCGCCGGGAAGGAATGTCGATGTATGGCATGGCAAGCGGCATGTTACTATGGCACTGGAAATATGGTGGTGAGATTTTCCCCAAATCGAGCGACGTAGTCTTACTTCGATCTGCTGGTGTCACGAGTGTTTAATTTCGCTCGTCGATTGACGTATAAAGGTATAAGTAACCTATAAAGGAGAATCTATCCTACTCATGAAGTGAAAAATTGAGTTTTGTCCATCTTTTTCGGATTCCGCCGCACTGTGCGGACCTCTGGAGAGCCTTCTTAAAAGTTCCGCGGTTTCCGTTTCGCAAGTTTTACTTTCAAAGCTCTGTGGGCGTCACCGGAAATATGGTACCGATACTACAAAGATGTATCCTAGAACTATGGGCCCCTGGCTTTCCAATGCCGTTTTCGCATTTCAAATATCACAAAAATTGGCTGAGATATGGTAATCTACGTATTTTATCCATAATTAGGGCCCTGGTCCGAAACCAAAGGGCACACTACTGTACCATTGGTAACTGCAGTTTAAAATGTGACACTCTAGGACACTTGAGTTTCTAGGGCAGTCGAGATTGAGTTACCGCGTGGTAGGGTGGTGGATTGGGTGGAGAGGATGTATTGCATTGTCTCCAAAGGTCGAGGGCGTCCTCCACACTGCAGTGCCAGGCGGGGCCGCTCGCGGAGCGGGACGTCGCGCCGTCGCGGAATCATCATGAATAACGTAACAACTCAATTCCGTTTATCCGCGCGCCGGGGACGGGAAGAGCATGCGCGTACTCCTTTACACCCCCTTTCGCCTCCCCGCTTCTCTCTCCCTCCCCCCCCCCCCCTCTCTCTCACACACACTCTCTCTCTTG